ACCCTTCTTCATTTTTCTGAAGAAGGGTCTAGGCCCGAAACGTCAGCCTTCCTGCTCCTCTGATGCTGCTTGGCCTGCTGTGATCATCCAGCTCTACACCTTGTTATCTCAGATTCTCCAGCATCGGCAGTTCCTACTATCTCTGCATATACTTATCATCAGGATATACTGTTCAGATAATATCTTGTTTGTCTTTGAAGTGAAGATAACCACATCTATCATATCTGGGGTGTTTGATCAAGTTCTGGGGAATATACAGGTAACTGCTGAGGCCAATCTGCATTTGAAAGCTGAAAATAGGACAGGATACTTCAACCTAAAGAAGCTTTGTGTGAGCTGCTGGCTCAGGATATCTTCTTCTTGCGTTTTCTCTCTGTCCCTGATATGCACTTCCTTTTGAAAGATGCTGCATCAAATTTCATTTGGTTGTGGAGGGTGCAGCATTCCTGTGCAAGCTTCACCCAGCACTCAAAGTTGGTATCAAATCTTTTAAGCGAAACCTTTAGAATTTCTTTGAGCACTTCCTTTGACTGTATGATATTGTGCACAAACCCAGGCTCTTCATAGAAGATTTAATTTGGTAAGCGAGTATATGGCTTTTTGGTTATATAACCAACTTAGTTCAGTTGTGACTGTCTCTGTATGGTGTGAATACTTGAGTGCGGTGTTTTGTCTGGCCATCTGATTTACAGAAGCTTCTGAAGGCGACTCAAATGACAGTGGGTTGTGCTCATTGGCAGTGAGCATAGGAGTTGGGATGTCGTGTTGCGGCTTTATAGGACATTGGTTAGGCCACTTTTGAAATACTGTGTGCAATTCTGGTCTCCCTGCTATAGGAAGGATGTTGTCAAACTTGAAAGGGTTCAAAAAAGATTTATGAGCATGTTGTCAGAGTTAGAGGGTTTGAGCTACAGGGAGAGGCTGAATAAGCTGGGGATATTTTCCTTAGAGCGTCAGGGGCTGAGAGGTGAACTTTATAGAGGTTTATAACATCATGAGGGGCATGGATAGGGTAAATAGACAAGGTTTTTTCCCCAGGGTGAGGATTCCAAAACTAGAGGGAGTAGGTTTAAGGTGAGAGGGTAAAAATTTAAAAGGGACCTAAGGGGCAATGTTTTCATGCAGAGGGTGGTGCATGTATGGAATGAGCTGCCAGAGGAAGTGGTGGAGATTGGTACAATTATAACATTTAAAAGTCATCTGGATGGGTTTATGAATAGGAAGAGTTTAGAGGGATGTGGGCCAAATGCTGGCAAATGGGACTAGATTTATTTAGGATATCTGGTCAGCATGGATGAGTTGGGCTGTAGGGTCTGTTTCCATGCTGTATATCTCTATGACTCTATAATGCTGGTACACTGTCCATGTTTCAGCTGCATAGAGCAGAATGGGCAGGATTAATGTTTGTCAAGAACTTCCACTTCAGTAGGCAGACTTATTCCTCTTCATCCCATGATGTTGGAAGTCTTCCAAAAGCAAAAAGCCTTTTACATTTTTGCATGTATCTCATTACCATTGGCAGCTTGAGAGTGTGCAGCGGAGATCAATAAATGTATCAACTGCTGACAGGTTCTGGTGATAGACGGAAATATTGGACTAGAGATACGACATTACTTCAGTTCAAATAATAATAAAGAAATAAGACATGCATCACAGCTGGGATTCATTGGGTTTCAATTTCTGAAATACAAGAATGAAGCTAAAGAGTTTGTGATGGGCAATTGGCAACATGATATTGTAAAAGATGGTCCATCAGATCAGTTAGCATTTGTAGAGAGGGGGGTTAAGAATGTTTTAAATTATCATCATACATGAACATCTCTCAGTGGCATTAAGTCAACATGACTAAATTTTATCTGCTATGCAGTTTTGTGTTGTTTAATTTTGTCACTAGGTGGCTGTGACTATCTTTGATAGTCAAACACACCAAGCTCCAGTGATATCCAGAGTACTGGTATTTTAATGCCACTGAAAGTTGATCCTGCAAGAGTTGATGCACAAGGATGAAGAGAACATCTCTCGGAAGGACAATCACTCTGGGTCTGCACTGTCACAGGACTCATGCAAAACATGCGCCAGCTCCAAATTAGTTGTGTAACAGTGCATGTTCTCAGAGAGGAATCTTCTCTGTTGAGTTTGTTATTGTCTTTCTGCATTGCCTCCTTACACCAGTAAGAGCCTGACACCAGTGACATCAGTAAGGCGGAGAGTTGGGTTTTTACATCAAGATTCACAAATCAAAGTGAACAAGATCAGATGATGAACAAGGGAGCAGAAGTGGCAAGCCTGTGGTAGTGTGTCTGTCCCTCAGAATTACTTCCAAAAGTTTCTCAGCACTGAGGTTAGACTGATTGGCCTGTAACCTTCTGGTTTGTCCCTTGCTCCCTTCTTGATTAATGGTGCCACATTGGCTGTACTCCAGTGCCCTGGCACCTCTCCTATTGCCAGCACCTTTGCTGTTTCCTCCCTTGCCTCACTCAACAGCTTGGGATACTCTTCATCAGGCTGGGGATTTATCTACTTTTAAACCAGCCAAGCCTCTCAGCACCACCTCTTGGTCGATTCTAATTTCCTAAGTATATATGTGGGTACAGAAATCAGGAAGAAGTATATTGTAGTCCTTCCTTCCTGATTTCTGTACCCACAGCATTCCTCTTGCTAGTAAACACTGACACAAAGTATTCATTTCAAACCCTACCTACATCCTATGGCCCCACAAACAAATTACCTCTGTGGTCCTTAATGGGCCCTATCTTTCCCTAGTTATGCTTTTACCATTAATGTACTTGTATAATAACTTAGGATTTTCCTTTATTTTACCTGCCATTATTTTTTCATGCCCCTTTTTGCTTTCCTAATTTCCATTAAGATTTCTCTTGCATATTCTGTACTCCTCTAAGGCTTCTACTGTTTTGAGCCCTTGGTATCCGCCATAAGCCTTGATTGTTCTCTTTATCCAATCCTGTATATCCATTGATTTCCAAGGTTTGCTGGTTTTGCTGGTCCCACCCTTTATCTTTATTGGAACATGTTGGTCCTGCACTTTCCCTATTTCCTTCTTGAATGCATCTCACTGCCAAAACACTGATTTACGTAAAAATATCTGCTCCCACTCCACAATGGCCAAATCATAAGACCGTAAGACACAGGAACAAAAATTAGGCCATTCAGCCCATCGAGTCTGCTCTGCCATTTAATCATAGCTGATAGGTTTCTCAACTCTGTTCTTCCACGTTCTCCCCGTAACCTTGATCCCCTTGATAATCAAGAACCTATCTATCTCAGCCTTAAATGTACTCAATGACCTGGCCTCCACAGCCTTCTGTGGCAGTGAATTCCATAGACTCACCATTCTCTGGTTGAAGAAGTTTCTCCTTATCTCCGTTCTAAAAGGTCTTCCTTTTATTCTACAGCTGTGCCCTGGGGTCCCAGTCTCATACCTGATCTTATTAAAAGTTATATAAGTCTTATTATGATTGCTAATAGTCATATGTGTAACTTATCACACCATTATTATGTTAACACGTAAATTATTTTCCTTTTTCCAACCACAGGGTGCATCCATCATCCATATGATCTCCAACTTTATGACAGAGGAGCTGTTTGCAAAAGGCCTCAGAGTGAGTTTAAAAAGGTTTTTCCTGATTTGAGTCAGGATATTTAAAGTGTGAAATAAAAATCACGTTTTGAGTTGAAACTATTTCAAGATTTTTGTTTATTTCCACACTGAATACTTGTCTTTATTTCTTCACACACAGTCTCCTTTGTTTTACAGTCATACCTCAAGGCCTTTTCTTATTCAAATGCTGAGGCAGATGACATGTGGAATCATTTGCAGATGGTGGGTTTATATGGGCTTTGTGTACTATCGTACCGTTTTGCCTACTAATCCTGTGGATGTTTAATTTGTTTTTGGTTTCTTTCCTGCCGCATAGTTAGGTCACGTTGAGGGGAATGATAATTGTGTATATGGCTTGAATTTAAATTGTTTTATTGGAAGCTGTAGTTCGTGTAGCACTGTGGAATACTATGTGTATGAATGGAGTATTTGAACCATTTTCCATGCCTATCATATATTTTGATTGTTGCTCACACTTTTGAATCCTCCATGATGGTGACAATTTTTTGTGCACTATAACTTTTTACTGAGAAAGCACTTAGACTAGACACATGCTAGGAACATAGGAACTTGGAGCAGGAGTTGGTAATTCAGCCCTTTGGGCCCCCGCACCATTTAACATGATCATGGCTGATATTATCCTGGTCTCAACTCTACTTTCCTGCCTGTTCCCCATAGCCGTTTATCACACTTTTCATCAGCTGGAAAACACTGCACAGGAAGGAAACTGGAAACCTTATAACCTTTAAAAAATATTTGGATGAGCACTTCAAATATCATAACTTCAAGGATATGGTACAAATGCAGGAAATCAGGATTAGAACACTTTTAGTGGTAGTTATGTCAATGCATACTCGATGAGCAAAGGGCTTGTTCTGAACTGTATGAATCGATGAAGCAATGAAACATATCTATTTCTTTCTTGTATCTGTTGATTGATTCTGCATCCACTGCACTCTGGAGCAGTGAGTTCCAAAGATTCACAACCCTCTGAGAGAAGTAGTTTCTCCTCAGCTCTGTTTTGAACCTACCTCCTCTCACTTTATATCTATGATGGCTTGTTCTAGAATGTCCCTCAACGTGGAATATCTATTCAATGCTCACCTTATCAACCCCCTTTAGCATCTTATATACCTCAATCAGACAGCCCTCCTCATTCTTCTAACTCCAGTAACACAAGCCTAAGCCATTCAAATGCTCCTCGTACAATAGCCCTTCCATCCCTGGAATCAGTCTGGTGAACATCCACTGAACTGCCTCCAGTGCCAGCACATTCTTCTTCAGGTGAGGAGACCAGAACCAGACACAATATTCCAATTAAGTCTCACCAACCCCTTATGTAATTGGAACAACACTTCTTTACTTTTATAGTCCAGTCCTTTTGCAATAAAAGCCAGGATTCCATTTGCCTTTTTTATTATATGCTGCACCTGCATACCCACTAACACAATTATGTAACCAATTGTTAGAAATAAAGCAGCTACAACCTGTTTTTCCCCTCATTGTGAGAAAATACTCATCCCATCTTCAAGTTTTCACCCAATTGCAAACTATTCCAATAGGTATGACTGCTTTGTAAAAGGAAAGATGAGTTGACATTTATCCTAGTTCTATGCTTCCATCTGCTAAACCACAATGAGGAAAGTTCATGCATGGCCCAGGGAACATAAGGAAACAAACCACCTGACTAATTATATTGAAAGAATCAGACAAATGTTGATTGTAGTAGAAAGTAACCTAATCACACATTCCCATATTCGATTGGGAATGCAAACTCAGGGAATTGATTATTTTCCCTGGCGGCTTATGAGAATGATCTATTTATGAGAATGAGATACCATGTTATCACCTCATATACTGTACACTACTAAAAATACATGGAAATAACATAGTTGGCAATGTCTCATACCTAAATAGTTGACCTCTGCTCATAGTGTTCCACCACAAAATAGTATTCCATTTGAAATTATGATAAGATCACCTTCAGTAGCATAAAGACAATAAAACTTAGCTCAAGAGCAATGCTTACTCTAAAATTGCTCTAAAGTAAAGGTACCACTTCAAAAAAAAGCACACATATGGAACACTGCGAACATTAAATCCAACTTGACAAGTTTTAATTTGACACGTTACTACACATTTTGTTCAGCACCTATGAAAGGAAAAGAGATATATCACTTTAAAAGAGCCTCATCCTCACTGAAATAGATTGAAATGCACCTTGTTCATCTTTTCAAAATAGTCAGGATATGATGAAATGTTTAGATTATTATTGCATCATATGTTGCATTTTGTCAGAAATACAACTAACTTATTATTTTATCATACCAAAACTATTTTTAATATTTGGGCTTTGTCTAATAAATTTTCTAATACAATGCATTGATTTGCCTATTATTATGAATTACTTAAATAATAAACAATAAAGCTTTTATCGACATGTTATTATCTCGACTGGGAAATCACATAGCAAGTACAGGATAAGCATATCAAACCTGACATTCTGAAGTCCATCATCAATAGAAAGACACATTTTTCAATTTACTTATAAGATTAATATTCAAAGCTGCTGTCATACAAAAATACTATTCCTTTAATCAAAACCTTTTGGAACGTGTGGATATGTTTGAGATTCAAAATCCTCAAGGTGACAAATCCTTTTATCCACTGCCTCAGACTGGTTTCATTTGTTGTTTTGCATTCCATTTCCTTCAATTTTATTACAGTGCCTGACCCAGCCCCTTTAAGTTAGATTTAAAAGCATTCCTGTTCATGCTTGTGGTTTTCATAATAGTAGGTTTCTTTGTTATAGTGGAAATTATATATTTTGTTTAAACGGAAGCAGTGAAGATTTAGTCTTTAAGGATCGATTATTCATTGTCTAATCGATAAATAATTTAAAAGTTAGGTAAAGTTTATTTTATCCTATGTTGAATATTCCTTATAAGTAGCAGCTACCTTTTACACTGAGTGATGTTTGGTGGTATTGATCTGAAAGAATTAACAGTTCGCTATATGAGCTTATTGAGAGTCAGTCCACAATCAAACACTGGAAAATTTAAGTCACTATCTGCAGTAGATGGGTAATTAATGGATTGCTAATTGGTGACTTTTGCTTCAATAGGCTATAGATAGTCAGGATGTTATTAAACTGCCAGCATCAATAAAATCCATCATGGACACATGGACAATGCAGGAAGGATTACCTATTATAACAGTTAATACAACAAGTGGCACTGTAAAACAGGACTACTTTGGAAAATCAGAGGAAAACAGAAATTCAAAGTATGTATTGCATTTCAATAACTTTTTTTTTCTAATGTGTTGTCAGTCATTCTTCTTTCTCACCAGTAATAGGTAGGTGACTTCAATTATCAACCTGAAAGCAAAGTTATTTGCATCTCTAAATTTGTGATGTATATTATATCTTTCAAATGATACATATTTCAATATTTTTGCAACATTTTACTAGATTACAGCCTGATCATTATCTTAAAATATAATTGGATATGGTTTTCTTATTGCTGTTAAGTTAAAAAATTTCTTTCAAAATTAATTTAATTCCTGTTCACTTTTAAAGCTCCTATACACAATGTCATCTAAGATCAAAAAAATCCAATTAAAAAATCTAATATCAAGTCTCTGTCTATGCCACTCTGAGACCATTGAGTGGGTGAAGTGACTTTGGACAAATCCTCCATTTCATTTTATTTTCTTTTCACAGCAGTGTACGTGAGACTGGAAACATATGGGGAAAAATCATATGTATGAACCTTGGCTGGGTGCTCCTGCACATTTAGTTACTGTGTTATCGGAGCTCAAACTTCATTCCAGAAACAAATTTTGGTTACATTGGTCTGGACCTTCTAAAGGATTGAGAACAAGGTAGTACTCGTTGGTACTGATGATTTTAGACAGGGATGAAGATGTGGCTCTGAAATCAGAATTTAGGGAGCCAGGTAGAAAGTCAATGAGCAAGACCAAAAATGTAGCATTCTCCAGACTACTCCCAGTACCAGGTCTGAGTACAGGAAGAGCAAGATAAGGCAAATAAATGTGTGGCTTGAAAGGTGGTGCAGGAAGGATGGCTTTAGATTCCTGGAATTGGCTCTGGGGAAGATGGCACCTGTACAAGCTGAATGGGTGGTGTCTAAACAGGTCCTTGTGGGATGTTTCGCTGGTGCTGCTGGGAGGGCTTTAAAGTAACTTGGCGGGAGTGTGGGAACCAAGAGAGACTATTAGAGGTGAATACCAGGGCTAACAAAATGTTTAAGGAATCAGCTTGCACTAGCGTAGAAAATTGTAAGATAATAAGTGAAGTCAAAATATGGGAGAAAGGAAGTCCAAAGCAGTTAACATGCATGTATATGAATGCATTACATATCAGTACATAAGGTTGGGGAGTTACAGATGCAGATTGCAATGTGGAACTATGATGTTTCAGTGGTGAAGGAGACCTGGCTCAAGGGAGGGAAGACTGAGTGTTAAAATGTTCCTGGCTATAATTTTTCAGGAAAGATAAAAAGGGCAGGAAAGGAGGAGGAGTTGTAGTTATAGTTAAGGAGAGCATTGCAGTGCTGGAGAAAGAGCATATCTCAGAGTGTTCGAGTACAGTGTCAATTTGACTACAGCTCATTTACATTGGTGCAATTACATTGCTAAGTGTAATTTACTGACCACCATCTAGTGGAAATGATGCAGAGGAACAAATCTGCAGGGAAATGATAGAGAAATGTCAACATTATAGAGGAGTTAAAATGGGAGCTTCAATTAGCCAAATATGGACTAGGGTACTTGCAGTGTAAGGCCCAGCAAGGGGCAACTGTTCCTGGATTGTGTTCGGGAGCAGTTCCTACAGCAGTATACAAGGAAGGCTGCATTGTTGGACCTGGTCTTTGGAAACGGGGCCAAGTGGATTGAGTGTCAGTAGAGAATCATTCTGGAGACAGTGATCATTCTATTTTAAGGTTCAGGTTGGTGTTGGAGAAAGACATGCAACAATCCAGAGCAAGAAAAGTGAATTGACAGAGAGCTGACTTAAATCAGGCTAGAACAAGGCTGAGCAGGATTGATTGGATGAAGATGTTGGCAGTAAGATCAGTAACAGAATAATTAGCCAACTTCAAGGAACATATGGTTTGGTACAGTTGAAGTATATTCTCTGATTCAAAAGGCAGGACAAACAAATCTAGAGTTCCCTGGATGATAAAGGAGGTGGAAACTAACATTATTGTACTTATGACAGGTGTAAGGCAGAAAATACAATTGAGAATCAACAGGCATACTGCGGTTTGATGGTGGGGGAGTAGTAGGGAGGTGAAAAAGCAAATAAGAAAAGAGGAACAATGAGCAATGACTAGCAGTTGACATAAAGAGAAATTCTAAAGTTTTCTATTGGCATATAAACAGTAAAACAGTGATTAAAGGAGGAATAGGGCCAATCAGAGACCAAAATGAGGATTTACAGGCAGAAATTGGGGTCATAACTGACATGTTAAATGACACCTTTGCATCTGCCTTTACAGAGGAGCATGCTGCCCAGCCCTTGATGACAGAGGAAGAAACTCTGTCACTAGGAGGAATGAAAATTAATAAGGAAGAAATTTTGGATAGACTGTTGGTGCTTAAAGTTAACAATGCCCATGGAGTGGAAAAGATGCATCCAAGGATTTTGGAGGAAGTGAGGGTAAAAAATTATGGAGGCATTGACCAAAATAGTTCAGTCTTCCCTGGACTCTGGGAAGGTGCCTAAAGACAAGAGAATTGCCAACATTGCCACCTTGTTCAGAACTGTTTGTAAGGCTAATCTCAGCAATTACAAACCAGTTGGATTAATTTTGGTTGTGGGGAAACTGTTGGGAACAGGATAAAATCAGCTGCCACATGGAGAAAGGTGGGTTGATTAGGAAGAGTCAGCATGGATTTGTAAAGAGGAACTATTGTTCAACTAACTTGGAGTCTTTTGAAGAGGTAATGAAAAGGTTTGATGAAGATAATACTTACGACATGGTATTCAGAAGGTGTTCGCTGCAATGCCTCACAGCAGACTTGTGAAGAAAGTTGCAACTCATTGTACAAAAGGGACAGTGGCAAGGTTGATACAAAATTGGATGAATAAAAGAAAGCAAAGAGTAACAGTCAAAGGATATTTTTTGGGCTTTGTGAAGGTTTGCACTGGAGATCCCCAGAGATCGGTATTGGAACCCTTGCTTCTTTTTGACACATATTAATGATCTGGATCTTGGTGCACAGGGGACAATTTGCAAGTTTGTAGATAATATGAAGTTTTCAAGAACTGTAAACAATGAGGAAGGTAGTGTGGAACTACAAAAGAACATTGATAATTTGGTGCAGTGGGTGGAGAGTTGGCAGATGAGGTTAAATGCAAAGAAGTGTAAGGTGATGCAGTTTGGTCAGAAGAACACTGAATGACAATATCAAATAAGGGGTACAATTCTAAAGGGGTTGCAGGATCAGAGGGATCTGGGTTTACATGTACACAGATCTTTGAAAGTGGAGTGTTCTTGACTTTATTAATGGGGCATAGAGTATAAGAGCAAAGAGGTGATGTTGAACATATGCAAGACATTTATTAGACCTCAGCTGGAGCATGAAAACAAACAGTAAGTGCAGTATTAGAATTAGGTATAGTAAAATTTTTATTATCCATCATGCGCAGGAAATGATTGGTGCTTATTAATCAAAACTTCCAATTCACAGAGAGTTTGATTTACCTATGAAATATATTATAATTCATGTATTATGGCCTGTCAAAGAATAAAATATGAAATAATATGCAGATAATCGGCTAGTAAAGAACAGAATTTTTTTTATTTCTAGCCTCCAAAAGTACTTTTAAACATAAATTACAGGGCAAAGTAATCAAATGTAGATCATAGAATGCCTACAGTGTGGAAGCAGGCCATTCAGTTCATTGAGTCCACACTACTCTTCTGAAGAGCATCCCACCCAAACTTACCCCAATCCTGTAACCCTGCATTTCCTATGGCAACCCACCTAGCCTGCACATCCCTGGACAATTTAGCATGGCCAATCCACCTAATCTGTACATTTTTGGACTGTGGGAGGAAACTGGAGCAAAGCCATCAGCTTTGGAGAATATGCAAACTCCACACAGACAGTCACCCGAAGATGGAATGAAACCCAAGCCTCTAATACTGTGAGGTAGCAGTGCTAACCACTCAGCCAGCTTGCTGAGTAGATATACTTGAGAGGAACAAATCCTCAATATCTCTTACAACTGTCTGTAGAAATGTGGAAGATATAGGAGGTTAGGCCCTGGTGCAAGCCCTGGCTACATTATTAAATAAAACTGTGAAGTCAGTTTGCCTTTCAGCAAATTTAATCAGTGTCGGAAAAGCTGAAGCAGCATCAGACCAAATTATTTTCTTCTCCTTACTGAAATCGTCTTCAGTCCCCCTTTTCCCGTCTCCTTCAGCTTTAGGGGATTCACAACACTCTCCATCATTTCTTCATCACTAACAGCACGTGCCACTTCAGCTTCAAGTCAGCTTCGACCCACACTTGCATCACATGTATGCACAATTCGCTGATTGGGTGTGAAGAAGGAGTATCATTCACCATATCCATGATGTTGGGTAATATATTTGTTCTAGGTCTTACCATAAGTCCTTCAAAATCTTCTTCATCAGAACAGCTTTCTACAAGTATAACTCCAAGTAATAATTTTCTTCAAATCCTCATCAATGTTGCACTATTCATTGATTTACAAGTGTAGGTCACATTAAAAATTGTACCTTTTATGCCTTAACCAGATCAAAGTTTTGGTGGGGTGTCTTCATGTTTGATTAACTTCTTCATGAAATGTCTTCTGTGACGTTGATGGGCAACGTTTTCCCAGTTCTTGAAGAAATTCAGGAGGATGTAATGAGAATGAAAAATTGAGATTCTCAACATTGAGACAAAGGCCTGATTTTCTCCTTAAGCCTTTAACAGTTCAATGAAAATCTCGCTTGTAACTGATGAAGACCCCATTTTCATGTATTAACATCACATTATTAGCTAATCTCGCCTCACAGATATGTGGGTTGCGATTTTCTCAGATACTGATGAGAAACTAGACACTGTTGATTCCCAACTTGGAAATCAGAGTGATAACCAGGCGAATAAAGCTTGTGCAGAGATAGTAAGAGCTGCAGATGCTGAATCAGAGATAACACAGTGTGGAGCTGGAGGAACACAACAGGCCAGGCAGCATCAGAGGAGCAGGAAAGTTGATGTTTCGGGTCGGGTTGCTTCTCAAG